TATTCAATTTTCTTTTATTTATTTGCTTACAGGCATATTTATTACCTTTTTTTATATATAATCAATTAGTTTCTTTCAATGAAATTTCAACTAATTGACAATGTTTCCTATTCAGTTTTTATTTGTCATCAATGCTAGAACAAAACAACAGAAAAAAAACAAAACTAAAAAAACAAGGGTGATGGGAGCATAAGTAAAACAAAGCATGAATTATGTTTTATAAATATATCATTTAATGAAAAAATTCTATTTGTTTAACTATCTTTAAATATATTAAATTTCTTTCCTGTTTACTATTATTTTATATATCATGGATAACGATGATGATGATGATGTGGATGAGGATGACCTTGGCAACAATTTCAATGATATATATTTATCTAACAAGTTTATTTACAATAATATGAACCCGTAAAACGACAAAAATTAACAAAACTAAATTGTATTTTACATTTATCATTGAACAAAAACATCATACACATATGAATATTTTAATAATAGTTTTAATATTCCAGAAAAACAACCTGTGTGTGAACTGTGTAAAAAAAGAAGCCCATAATATAGATGTATCTTGAAGCTATTTCTTCATTAAACAGAATATCTAAATAATGATTGACCTAAGAAGAAATTTTCCACATACATTAATTTATTTACTAGTTGACCAAGTAATGATTTATCTTGTGTAAAATAAAATATTTAAAGTCTCATTTAGAAGAAAGTTAATCTGGAATGTAACTTCATTTATCATATACAAAATCAGTTTTGATTAACTTTAATAGGGAAATATAATGATGTATCTTAAGATATTTCAGTGATATCTACTGAAATTTACAATTTTGTAATGAAGTAGATGATGACTTTTTTTAAGATTTTTAGCTAGGGTAAAATTACGTTTATTTTGGAGGGGGGAGGGATTAGATTGAATATATGACGTGTAGTTTTATTGAAAGTATTGATCATTTATTTCTCATGAAATCGAAAAATTCTCTTTGAATCAATTCACCTTTCAGCTTCATTAGTTTAATGTTTAAAAGTTGAATCTGGATGTAATAATTTCCTACTACAATAAAATACCATATTCTTGCCTAGTGAGTTTTTATGCAAAAGCTTAGTGGTTCAATCATCCCTTATCAATTACTTCGAATCACTATGCAGAAAATTAATGTATATAAGTAGTAAATAATTGATACATTTAGTTAGTTTCGGTGTTTACACTAGCCGGTTACTGTTTCTAATCTACAAATATATGTCACCAGATAGAGCATGTTTTTTTCGGTTTTGAAAAATACATTTACTCAAAGTTTTATGTTCTTCTTCATGCATATGTAAATCGAATTTTCTTATTTTTGTAGTTTGGTGAAATGGCTACTTTCATTTTTGTTACCCAAATGATGAATATGAACAAACCTACTAATTCATACATTTCGTATAGTAGCTAGCAGTGGAATTCCAGATATCTTTTTATTTTACAAAAGTTAGTAAAATTGTTAATTTGGGCGTTTTGTAGAGATTTTCGAATTTTGTTGTTTAGACCACAGACTGGTCGTAACTAGAAAGTTGATAAAACCAAGAAAGAGTATATTGCCATTTTACTATAGTTTGTGACCCCATATACAAACAATAATTACGTAGTCAGTAGTAAACGATTTAATAAAGTAATCCCTGAAGATCTGGTGAGGATTTATAGCCATTGGAGTTCATTCATGTATATGTTAGCTACCCATTAAACACATTGGATCAAATTCTGACAGAAAAATGCTTAAGTGGATTGATACTGATAAACTATGAATCAAACAACACAAGTAAGAACACGAAGACGGTTTATAAGAATTTATCTACCTTACTAAAAGGCTAATATCAAAATGATAATAGGTTTTTTCTTTACTCCTAACGATACATTTTAAGGGTGTAACCATGAATCTTAAAAATTTAGTGACTGATTTAAGCGTCTGGTTATCGAAGTATGTACTTACTATCCCTTGGTATACATCTTTTCCGCACAAATATGTAAAAATACAGTCGGCTGGCTACAACTACTTTCAGACTTGAATTTGAACTAATGATCAAGTAATTAATCAATCAGATTGTTGACCTTCATATCCATCGTAAAACACTGATAACCTACTATATCATTTTAAAAATTATTAACATTATTAGGAGACATGCTTGAGGTAAAGAAAGGATGGAGGTTTAAGAAACTGTTTATTGATGGGTTTCGGGTTTAAATTATATATTCAAACGACAAGTGTTTTAATGTTATTCTCCAGAATAAGTCAGAATGACAAATTCATATATACATTTATATATTGGTTTTATTCACACTTGGTGATTAGTCAACAGTCATCACACCAGGGGAATTCACTGAATTAGTACTGAAACTAGAGTCGCATATCATACTGAATGAATCTCATGATAAATTAATGTAAAGAATATTGTTCTGAATGAATATCATACTGACATAAAACCAATGTCGCTTTAAAATTCTAGCAAACATTTCAGTGAGTAATCAACACATTCAATTGAAAACGAATGTATAAAAATTCTAATGAGTTTTAAACGTAATTTTGTCTTTACATCTTGTCATATTAAATATTAGTTGTACAATATTGCAATAGTGACTAATGTCAGAAATATAAACTATTGCGTGCCAACTCAATGGCCTATAAATTAATTGCTCATCTCAATGCTTGAATGTACTGGATTTCACCAAAGGTAAGGTAACAGATGTGCGCTGTTGACGAATTTCATACTGGAACAAACAGCTATAAAATGTCTTCTAGTTTTTAATAATTTTTTAGTTACAATCAATTCATATTGTAAATTACCAAATTACTGGTGATAAATCTTTCGTATATAATTTTCAACATAACTGGAAAAACAAACCACAAAATCACAAGTGGGGTCTTGTGAAAATTTTAGTAATTTAATGGTTGAATTCATGAGTCAATTAAGTTTAGACCATCATTGAAAACCTGGAAGCATTGGACGGCCGTTTCGTTCTACTATGGAACTCTTTACAAAATCTCAAGACGAAGTAAATAACCGACAATAAGATGACAATAACCACTACTAGCCATTATCTATCTTTGCTTACAAAGTTTGTGACTTAGGACTATATCGAGGCAATCCACACAGGATGCACATATGCCAACATGAGACTGATCAATTGCAGTCCTAAATAACAATAAGAAGACACAGGTAAAACAACAAATGAATTTAGGATTATTAAAAATAATGTTAATAACTCCCAATCACATAAACGAATATATTCTGAATAATGACTAAAGTTATCAATAATAGTGTGGTTTCATTACATGAATTGTATGGTATCAATTATGTTAACAAGAAATCAGAAGTAATTTTTGGTCTATTTTCATCATAATCTTACATAATTTAGTAAATTGTTAAAAGTTGATAAGCATCATAATAATTCATGACATAATTTATGACACTAAAATAATGAGAAGGGATATGTGGAGATTTTAGAAATTTCACTACTTAAAATCATGAGTCATTTGAGGCTAGACCACCATGAACAAAACGGCCGTCCAGTGCTTCCAGGTTTTCCATGGTGGTCTAGCTTCAACTGACTTATGATTTCAACTAGTGAAACTTAAATAATGAATGTCTCTCAATAATGCATGATATCACCTAAAGTTTACTATATTTTTTGTTTCGAAGAAAGTACATTTTAATGAGTTACTATGATGAAGACTGTTCTTAAATAAGTTATTTAATATATATATATATATATATATATATATATATATATATATATATATATATATATATATATATATAATAATTAACTCCTTATTATCAATTATTTTTAATTAATATCAGAAGCGGTTTTCCGGATATTATAATAATTTCAATAGTTAAGATCTTAGAATCGAATCTCGTAAGGCGGTATCGTGGATGCGCACTGCTGAAGAGTCATACAATAGGACAAAACAGCCGTCCAGTGTTTCCGGGTTTTTCATGCTAGTCCAGCTTCAATTAACTCATGATCTCAACTATCGAAATTATTTTAAGGTTTGATGTTTCAGTGTGTAGACGAAAAGTTGAGTTTTTTTAATATCTATTAAATGAAATGAGAATCTAAATAAGTTGATTTCGACCATTCATCTCCCTAAAAAAATACAATATTAACTTGTAAAAAAACTGACATTTTAAATTTGATTCCTAATCAAGATAAGATGCAAACACTCGTAGAGCGTCTGAAACTAGTAAATTGTTTACTTATTCATGGGATATTTTTGGTGTGGGAGGACAGAAATTACAAACCCTTTTACATACCCAATAACTTTTTTTACTCCCATTTCAATTGGCAATTCGTCAGTATTAATTGTTCAATATAAAATTCCTCTTTCGTCTACATATTGGAATTGGAACTTGAAGTTTCAACATGTGATAACCACTTATCAATATGTTCATCATTAGTGATTTCCAAATTATAATTATCTAAACTTGTATACAGAAGATGAAATTTTTTAAAAAAGTATATTAACTTCTTGATTTAGATTTTAGATTTTATGCTCAAAACTACAACTATCTTTAACGATTGGTTTAGTGTCAAAAAAAGAGGTTTCTTATTAGCTGTTAGTGTCACTATCTTCTTGTTTGTTATACGCAAGTGTTTCTTCAGGTTTAGTGATCATCAGTTTTAGGTTTAAATTTTCGAAAGAGACATCAAATGTATATACACTTATACAATATTCCAGATACTCGTTAGGAATGAATGTAAATAAAAGGTATATATTGATTCACAGTTTTTTGTTTATTACTTACAATTACATTTTATACTCGATAGCACTATCTTAAAGCTTAACAGATATTTTTCAATTATATTTTAAAAAGAAAATTAGTCCTTTCATGTTGTTATTTAAGAAATGGCTTATATCTTTTAGTGCTCTAGATAATTTAGTTTATATATTTGTTCAACATCAACAATCCTAATATATATTAACTGAAACAAAATACACTATTCATTAACTTACCATAATTATTTAATGATATATTTGAATGATCAAGTTTAGCTATTTCATTTAAATCTTGAAAAACATTTTGTCCACAATTATTGTCTAACATAAAACGTGATTTTAAAAAATTCGCTATCAAACGATTTCGGTTTACTGCTGTTAGTTGTGAATTCAATTCAGTCGATTGTTGATGACGTAACTGTTGTTGATGTTTTTGCTGAGGTTGCTGTTGTTCAAGATAATTTTGATGATGTAGATAATTTAAATAAGGTTGATACAAAGAAGAGGATGAAGCTGAAGAAGTTAATTCTTCCAGTTGTTCTTTATTTAAAATAGTATTCATCATTACAGACATTATGTATGATGAATTAAATGGTACAATCGTTTCAGGATATGAATTCAGTGATATGTTGGGATTACTTTGCCCAAGTGAATTTTGGTTTGGGTTTGGTAAAATATTATTGAGAAAAAGTTGATCATTAAAATTATTGTCTGCAGAATTTAAATTTGTTAAATTTATATTGTTTGAAATGGATTTATTTGGGCTGGTTATTCCGAATAAGTTATGTAACTTTAGTAATATTTGTAATTGTTCTTCTGTATTAGACCCAAAAGAAGAAGAATTCGTAAGAGAAGATAAGGGAGACGACGAAGAAATTACAGTTGGGAATAAAGTAAGATCATTCGAGATGGTTCGCTGAGTTGACCCTGAAAATATTGATGCGTCCGGATTTATTTTATTGATTGATTGAATAGTAATTTCCTCCTTTGATAAATTGTTAATAGAATTAAAGGATTGTGCAAATATAGCTGGAGATGATTCTGAAACTATATCAGTATTATTATTATTACTACTAAGAATATTACTGGCATTATTTACATCAAACTTTATCTGTGAAGTAGATTGTAATGAATTCAATGTAATTTCTGAATCCGAAACTAAATTCTCACTACTTTGATTAGATGACTTAGAAATGTTATTATTTTCAATTCGACTTTTCTTAACAATATCATTCCTTGTTGAAGTTATTCTATGTATTATGTTTTTATGTTCTTCGGATGAGTTCAATGGAACAATCATAACCGACCAGTCATTATTATCATTATTTATAATGTTATTATTGATAAGTTGGAAACTATTCTTTTCATCGATATTTCTTTTCATTGTTTCTTTAATAAATAGTTTTTCTTCAGATGAATTCAGTGATTCTAATGTTGGTTTTATTAAATCTGCTACTGAAAATCCAGACATAATTTCTTATTAACCTAAATACTAATTATTATTATAATAATAACTTAGAATAAATAATTTCAAAACGAATTAATCGTCTACTCTCTAATCCACTGAGAATGGATATATATATGTATACCAACTACAGCATATTCTTAAATTTATTCGTCTCTTTTGATATTATTCATCGGGAAGAAATTCTTACTAGATAAGATACATTCATGAATATGTTGTTTTCCCATTGGTTAATTACTTTGGTTAAATAGTCGCGTAATTGGCTTCTGCATCAATATTTAATTTCATCCAATTTAATTTCTTTTTACCATATAATTTCAGTTATGTGTACTAATTTGTTTTCTCCCCATATTAGTCATCCTCACCACCACCACACTATTTTCCTCCTCCTTTTCATTGTCACCATCAAAATCAACATTGTATTCACCTGTGAAATATTCCATGCCCATTTATATTTATAGTTGGAATGGATGAAAGGGAATTTTCTGGTTTGTTAATATATTTGTTTGTCAGTATCGAAGTATTCTTAGTTTATATCGTTCTTTTTTTTTAATACCGGAAATGAACATTGTTTGCCTAAGAGAAACTAGTGCGAATACTAATTAACGTTAACACTATTAATGATAATTGTAAAAATGTGGAATTGAACTACGAAATTTCTCTTTATCGGATTTATTGTCGAGCCGTACAACTATACTTGTGTATATCGGATACTAAAGCTTAATTCTGTGAAGAATTATGAGCAATCAATAAACATGATGTAGTTCAAAGATTTAATTACTAGATTGTAAAGATAAACTCTTATCTTAATTTACTTCATTTATTGTTTCTTAAAATAATTAGTCCCTTTGATAAATTTTGTCTTCTCATTGCATTATCGAAATTTATTGTTTTAATAGAAATCATCAAAAGGGATTTTGTGGAGATTTTAGAAATTTCACTAGTTGAAATCATGAGTCAATTAAAGCTAAACCACCATGGAAAACCTGGAAAAACTGGACGGCCTTTTCGGCCTAGTATGGGACACCTCAGCAGTGCGCATCCACGATCATAAATTTGTTGGAAAAACAATAATTCAGTAAATCTAAGTTTTCCTTAAATTATACAAGTGTTCCCATTAAACAACGCCTGTAGCTCTTCCAGATTTACTGCCGGTTTCCAAGCCTGGGTAAAGGAGTAGGGTTGCGCATGTGGTTAGCGACCCCATCACGTAGAAAACTAACTCGCTAAAAAAACGCTAACCAGAAAAAATTATTCAAAACATTTAAAATCTGCCCTGGGAGTCAGAAGGTCTTCAGTTAGAAGAGTTATAACGCCTCATGATGAAAGCCGAGGTCATTCGGAAGTCACGAAGGAGGTGCCCCTTCTGAAAACCAGAGCAACCATTAATTTAAGTACATGGAATGCTCGTACAATGTGGGAGACCGGGAGAGTCTTCCAAATGGCTGCAGAAATGAGGAGGTACAACCTAGGGGTGCTTGGGATCAGTGAAACACATTGGACGCAAGTCGGACAACAACGACTAGCTTCAGGGGAGCTGTTGTTTTACTCCGGCCACGATGAAGAAAATACCCCACATACACAAGGAGTTGCACTGGTGCTATCCAAACAAGCACAAAAAGCACCTATAGGATGGGAATCTCGTGGACCCAGGATCATCAAAGCCTCCTTCAAAACAAAGAAAGCGGGCATTACAATGGACGTCATTCAATGCTACGCGCCTACCAACGACTGCAATGAAGACGTTAAAGATCAATCCTACGATAGGCTGCAGTTAATCGTTGAGAAATGCCCAACAAATGACTTAACCATTCTAATGGGAGACCTAAATGCCAAGGTTGGAATGGACAACACCAGATATGAAGACATCATGGGACGAAGACGACTGGGAGAAAGGAACAAAAGTGGTGAGAGACTTGCAAACTTGTGTGCCTTCAACAAACTGGTCATAGGTGGCACCATATTCCCATATAAACGCATACACAAAGCCACACGGATTTCATCGAATCACACCACACAGAGCCAAATCGACCATATCTGCATCAATAAAAGGTTCAGAAAGACGATGGAAGATGTGAGGACCAAGAGAAACGCTGATATAGCGTCAGATCATCACTTGCTGATCGCTAAAATGAAATTGGAACTCAAGAAGCATTGAAAATCGAGGCGGACAATATCACAAAAGTTTAATACGGCTCTTCTTCGGGCTACTGACAAACTCAACAAATTCAAGATAGCCCTCAGCAATAATTCCAGGCCCTTTATGATCTTCTCAATGGAGAAGGAACTACTGTGGAGAGCAACTGGAAGGGGATAAAAGAGGCAATCACTTCAACATGTCACGAGGTTCTGGGTCAAAAGAAGCACCATCACAAGGATTGGATCACGGTTGATACACTGTATAAAATTCAAGAAAGAAAGAACAAGAAAACAGCAATCAATACCAGCCGAACAAGAGCAGAAAAAGTTAAGGCACAAGCTGAATTCACAGAAGTAAACAAGAAAACGAAGAGGAGCATCAGAACTGACAAACGTAAATATGTGGAAGATTTAGCAATGATGTCGGAAAAGGCTTCAAGAGAAGGAAACATGAGACAACTGTATGACACAACAAACAAACTCTCTGGAAATCACTGTAAACCAGAACGACCAGTGAAAAGCAAGGAAGGCAAGATAATCACCAACATTGAAGAATAACGAAACAGGTGGGTAGAACACTTCAAAGAACTCTTGAATCGATCAGCCCATTGAACTAATCATGAAGACATCAACATCTGAAGTGAAGCAAGGGATACAGTGGACATCTAGGATGCAGTTGGATGATCTAGACTTCGCAGATGATTTGGCTGTTCTATCGCAAACGCAACACCAAATGCAGGAGAAGACGACCAGTGTAGCAGCAGCCTCAGCAACAGTAGGTCTCAATATACACAAAGGGAAAATCAAGATTCTCCGTTACAACACAGCATGCGCCAATCCAATCCCACTTGACGGGGAATTTTTGAAAGATGTAGATACCTTTACATATTTGGTCAGCGTCATTGATGAACACGGTGGATCTAATGCAGATGTAAAGCAAGAGCAACATATCTACAACTGAAGAACATCTGGAACTCAAAACAATTGGCAATCAACACCAAAGTCAGAATTTTCAATACAAATGTCAAAACAGTTCTACTGTATGAGGCGGAAACCTGGAAAACTACGAAATCAGTCATCCAGAAGATACAAGTGTTTATTAACAGCTGTCTACGCAAAATACTTCGGATCCGTTGGCCAGATACTATCATCAACAACCTACTGTGGAAGAGAACAAACCAGATTTCAGTGGAGGAAGAAGCACTGGAAGTGGATAGGACACACATTGAGGAAAGCATTCAACTGCGTCACAAGACAAGCCCTCACATGGAATCCTCAAGGCCGAAGGAGGAGAGGAAGACCAAAGAATACATTACGCCGAGAAATGGAGATAGATATGAGAAAAATGAACAAGAATTGGATGGAACTAGAAAAGAAGGTCCAGGACAGAGTAGGTTGGAGAATGCTAGTCGTCGGCCTATGCTCCATTAGGAGTAACAGGCGTAAGTAAGAATGTTAGAAAATCTTCATTTAGAAGAACTATGATGCCTCATAGTGAAAGCCGAGTTCCTTCGGAAGCAATGAGGTCGATGCCCCTTCTAACAATCAGAGCAACAATTTTTATAGGTACATGGAACTTCCGGACAATGTGGGAGACCGCAAAGATCAGTCAAATAACAACGGAAATAAGGAGATACAACTTTGCAGTACTCGGAATCAGCGAAACCCATTGGACCCAAGCTGGACAACAAAGGCTAAATACGGGAGAGATGCTGCTATACTCCGGTCACAAACAGGAAAATGCTCCACACACTCAGGGAGTTGCTCTAATGCTGTCCAAAGTAGCACGAAATGCACTTGTAGGATGGGAATCTCACGGATCCAGAATCATCAAAACATCACTCAAAACAAAGAAGGAGGGTATCACAATGAATATTATCCAATGATAGCAACGACGACATTAAAGATCAATTCTATGAGAGGCTGCAATCAATCATAGAGAAGTGCCCAAGAAAGGACCTCACCATTCTGATGGGAGATCTAAACGTCAAAGTCGGAATGGACAACATCGAATATGAAGATATCATGGGACGACACGGACTGGGAGAGAGGAATGGAAACGGAGAAAGATTTGCAAATCTGTGTGCATTCAACAAATTGGTCATAGGCGGTACAATATTTCCACACAAACGTATACACAAAGCTACATGGATCTCACCGGACCACACCACAGAGAACCAGATAGATCATATTTGCATCAATAAAAAGTTCCGAAGGACAATGGAAGATGTGAGAACCAGGAGAGAAGCGGATATAGCTTCAGATCACCACCTGGTTGTGGCCAATTTAAAATTGAAGCTAAAGAAGAACTGAACGAACAGCACCACAAAGATTCAATACAGCCTTTCATCAAGATACTAACAAACTCAACGAATTCAAGATAGCCCTCAACAACAGGTTCCAAGCCTTACAGGATCTACTAAAGGAAGAAGAAACTACTATGGAGGATAACTGGAAAGGTGTCAAAGAAGCATTAACCTCAATGTGTCAAGAGGTTCTGGGCCGTAAGAAACATCATCACAAGGAATGGATCTCTATAGAAACACTGGACAGGATCAAAGAAAGAAAGAACAAGAAGACAGCAATTAACAACAGTCAAACACGAGCAGAGAAAGTCCAAGCACAAGCTGAGTACATAGAAGCAAACAAGAAAGTGAAGAAGAGCATTAGAGCTGACAAGCAGAAGTACGTGGAAGAACTAGCAACGACGGCGGAGAAAGCTGCAAGAGAAGGAAATATGAAACAGCTTTACGATGCAACGAAGAAGCTAGCAGGAAAATACAGTAAACCAGAGAGACCAGTCAAAGACAAAGAAGGAAGACCAATCACTGAGATTCAACAACAGAGGAACAGATGGGCAGAGTACT